GACTATTGTCAGTGTTAGCAGCTTGTGGAAGACTCCAGAGACGAGCAATGCGAGCACGGCCAGAATTCGTGCAGGCAGACAGGTAAGTACACAGGCAGGTAGCCTGTGCACTCATTACATTCAGGCAGAATGAAATGATTGGACGAGTACATTATTCCAACGGCCACAGATACACACATTTTTACCTTTTCTTTTGTCACAGCATTTGATTCAGAGATTGCTGTCAGGATGTAATGACAATTTCAACAAAAATATAAAAAATATCGACCCTACCTTTAACATGTCATTTGCACGTAGAACAAACAGTGCAGTGCTGTTTGCTGCAGGACTTGACAGTTCACAGGTTTCAAATGAGGACCAGCCTTGTGTTACATTTGTCGAATCCTCCTCAGGGACAAAGCCACGTGTGAGAGCAGCAGCCCACCAGGAGTCAAGAGCCCCCAACCCCACTGTGGGCATGCCTACACCCTCTCTCATTAGCCTATATGACATTCATTTTCACTGGGACGAATTTAAAACTGTCTTAAAATCAGACAACCTCAATGTTAGCAGTAGCATCCCAGGGTGCACTCTGATGCTGCTGTCTTCATTGGCAGACATAACACGATATAGGCCTATAGCAGGCTGCTTATCAATTGTAACACATTGCAAATGCATCATATACACAGAAGAATACTATTGAGCTGCCGAAGCAGGGGACAAATAGTGTAAATTAGGAGAGAGCAACACAGACTCAGTAGGATATTCAACCCAGCTACGTCAGGAATATTAAAAGTTATTGTTATTGGGAGAGTTTATTGGGCCATTAACACCCAGTGTGCACGAGGAAAGCCAGTGCAATCTACAGTAAAAATGGGCTTACCAGTGCTACTCATGGTGCCAGTCAGACGATGCACAGTAAATAAGCCACTATCCACACTGACAGTAGCCTACATGGATGATGCCAGCCGCATGAATGTTTCCACGGGAATGTTGCAGAGAGCCCGGTGGTCCCTGGCTGATGATGCCGCAGAGATGTCCCGAAACAGCCGCACTGATTAGACAATGTCCCGCATACACTGCAGGGCTGCGCTGCCTCACTCTACAGCAGACAGCGCAGGTTGGGTGTGGGCGCACGGCGGAGAAACACGGCTAGAGTCAAGCTGCATAGAAGAGTGAATGACGTTTCCGCTGTAGTATATCAAAATAAAAGTAGTTCTCAAAGTGAGGTCTACATTCGGGATTCGAGAAATCCTGGGTTCTTTCAGGACACTTTGTGCTGCTGTGCAGCAAAATCTGGAGCACTTCAATGTATCTTTTGTTTGAGTAATCAAATCATGAATTTCACTAGTTTCACTGTCTGGTCAAACCAAAGTTCAGTATGATGCTGTTCTGGATATTTATTAAATATAACAACAAGTCAATTATACTTAAATGTACGCTAGTTAGGACTGTGGTAAGTAAAGTAGGCCTAAAAATAAAGAATGTGCATTTTTTTTTTAAATTCCCATCATTGGTCATATAACATCAAATAGAATATGAAATTAAATTTAAACCAAATTTACAGCTTTTTATATAGGCTTAAAACATCTAACCCATAGTATGCATATTTCAATCATTGGTGCTAATTTGACTAAACTGTTATATTTAAGACTATATATGCAAGTACAACAATAACTAAAGTAATAAAGGGATTAATGGTTGAAATTAAATATTCCATTATTTACTGATAGATGATCACATTACATTAAGCTTTAAGAGAGAATGGATATTTGATCTACTGAGCCACTCCATCTGCTGAGGAAGAGCTCGTGATAAGCCTTCGATCTCAAGCTCCAGAACAGATACTGAGTAAGGCCAACTGTATTGGTCCGTATAAGTAATAAGGCAAAACCTGTCTTTGTTTACATTGTACTTAAACTCTAAATACTCAAACAAATAAGCACGTAATTAAGTTACCAAAACTAAATGACATGCAGTGAAAGATTTTGGGTCAGTTGCCTCTTTTTGGTAACTTGTTGGTAATCCAGCCTTGAACATAAATCATCAAGACATTTGAAATGATTGAGAAACCTTCAATAAGGCAAGTAGACCTGTGCTTTGTTGTAATTTTGTTCAGTAGGTTACACCTAATATCCTTGCATGTCAATTGTTCCATTCCCCTACTTTATTGCAATCTTGATGCTTTTACATTGAAATAATTAATCCAACACTTCTGGTTGTATGTTGGTAACAACGGGCATCTTGTCTCTGCTTTGCTTCAGCATCCAGCAGGCTGCTCCACAGAGCATCCCCGGGCTGACAGCGCCACTTGCGCTGGTGCCGCGGCCAACACGGGAATTGTAGTATTTAGGAAAGAAAACGTCCATTCTAAGGAGCAGCGCGCGGCTGGTTTTGGACTACAAGTCTGTTCCATGTAAACAAACTGCAATGTGAAAGGGACTGGCAGTGACAGAACAGCATTTTAATCTTTAAAATACGTTAGAAAATCTGTTAGGATGCAATGGCTAGATCTAGTCAGTGCGTTCGTTTGTTTAAATTATTTTAATCTCAAAGCACAGAAGATGTTGAACATCACATTGCTCATTTTGTTTCTGTGTCCTCTTTGTGTGTTGAAACATAATTAAGTGGGTCAGTGTTTTTTACAAGGGGTTGGGAACAACTGAGGAGGAGGAACTGGAGGAAGATGACAGATCCGGGGATCTTCAATGAAATAAAGGAACAGAAAAGAACAGAACTACACTATTATTTCCTTTGGTTTGAATCTGTTTATCAATTGGATCATTTTCTTTTAATATAGTGATATTTAGTTTGAGAGTTGACATCTGAACTCAGGAAAAAGATGGCATTCCAGCCAAGTTTGTGTTCTCCTTTTTTATTGGAATTTATCAACAAAAATAAAGACACAATTCAGCAGCTAAAGGCTGCATCGTTATCCACACAAATATCATTTTAAATTGAATTATCTACAAAATTAACTAGAATTTAACTATAGTTGTAAAACATATTTACAGAATAAAGGACACGTTTAAAATAAGTAAATGGATAAATAAACAAATAAACCTTATTTCGAAAAAAAAAAACGTCTCACTGAGCCTACGAGCTTATCCTTTCCATACGGGGATGGAGTTTGCTAAGTATCATTTTATCTATTGATTTCTTATATGATGATATGATCCGGGGACTTGCCAAACAACGTGCTCTCTCTCTCTCTATTTATATCTCGAAGAAATTAATTAATGAATATACATGTATCATTTTCTTTGTCTTTCATTGCAGATTTCTCAATGTTTCTCAAATTCTCTATTTTTAATGGATACACTTCACACATACTTCTATCAACAGAAATAAATATATATATTTATTTCCTGTTGAAATCGGCAATGAAAGACAAATCTACATTACAATGTAGTTGTACTTTACTTACAAAAGAAGGCGATGTTTGTTTTCGTTTATTTATTTGTGATTTATATTTTACTGCGACAAAGTGCTCATGACGTCAAATCTGCGCGACTTCTACAAACGGCATGGCTTCCATATATCAGGCTGAGCTCGTGTGTTAAAAGGTGAAGCGTGAACTAGTAACATTGACCTTCTAGCGACATGGAGGTTAGCGAAGCTAACGACGAGAGTTTTGGAATAGAAGTGATTCCCACAGAGGACGGTAAACCAGCTCCATGTTGTCCGCACGGTAAGTCTCACTCATGGTGTAAATACGAGCAGTACTTTGCTTTAGTATATCCTCCATGTTTGTTTTGTATGTGCACACTTTGAACACAACGACATTATATGTATGAGTCTTTTTAATTTGTGTCGCACACAAAACAGCTCCCATTGCAGTACAATGTCACTTTATATTCCAAGCCAGGGTGTAGTGTGACAGACCTAATATTCAGCCGTGTTGGAGCTAATCACGCCCCATCTGTAACGAATGTTTGTGTAAGCTTCAGGGTACCAGCTTAAATCAGCCATCCAGAGTGTGGCTCACCTTTTGAAGAAGCATCGAACCTCACTGTTAACACAGTAACAGTCATGTCACGTGTGTTTTGCCAGGTCCAACTTTGCTTTTTGAGAAAGTTGGCAAAGGAGGGGAGAAAGGCAGGAGGTTTTATGCCTGCTCCGCCTGTCGAGACAGAAAAGACTGCAACTTCTTCCAGTGGGAGGAAGAAAAGGTAGGCTCACTGGAATTCTGTCACTTCTAACAACTTCTAACACAAGATACCTGAGCGATCCAATGGTTTCATTCTGATTCATTTGCTCTGAAGGTGTCGGAGGTCAGGCTTTTGGCCAGAGAAGCAGAGAACCAGTCAAAGAGACCTGTGTTCACCCAGCAGGAGAACTGTAGCAGGTAAGAAGCCAACTGACAACGTGGACTATGTATCTTTAACCACTCGGTCCACAGATTTACATGCGTTTGTATTATTGTCTCTGTTCATAACATTATACGATTGAATTCACTGTAGGCTGACTTTTAACAGGATTCAAATGGTTGTAATGTCAAATTGAACTCCCAAACATAAAGTGAGCTTATTTTCTCAAAGGTCTGTAATTTGTCCCTCAGGTTTAGAAAGTTTTCCTCCCTCCCACTGGATGAGAAGAAGTTCTGTCAGGATTGCCAGATGTTGCTCCTGCCAGGGGAGCATGAGGCCCACTCCTCTCACAGAACCACGGCCGTCTCCACGGATCAGCTGAGGAGGCCCAGCGTGCTGCTGCGTCCTCTGGACAACAAGAAGAGCAACGCCCAGTACCTGTTCACCGACCGCAGCTCCCACTTTCTGCTGGACACCCTGGCTGGTCTGGGATACAGGAAGGTGCTGTGTGTGGGCACACCCAGGTTAGGGAGACATTGAGCTTTACGTTTGCAGATACCACCACGTTTATTTAAAGCGGAGCCTAAATCCACCCACTGCATCATTTTGAAAAAGTAGGCAAGGGGCTGAGAGATCAAAGACACTATTTGAACATTAAAAATAAAAATGTTAGACGTTGTGGAAAGAGGCGAAGTGGGTGGTCTGATGAGACTGTGTTCATTCTTTTATTTCATGATGCAGATTAGTCCCAAATGGTCAACTCTGTCTGAATTGGCCTTGAAGAGTAGGACTCATATTAAACAGTATATGGCAGTTTGAGCCGTTTTCAAAGATTACATTTTTATATAATTTATGAATTTATGTCAATATTAACACCAGCATTGTGTTTCATCACAGTACAGTCAATTATCATATGCATTGCTCAAAGACTTAGTGAGATTGCTACTAGACTGCCCCGTTAATACAGTGCAGGCCTCTTTGTGGCGAGCAGGAGAGCAAACCTGTGAACTCTTTATTTTTGAAAGGCTGAATGCCAACAGATGTGGATATAAGCAGAATATTTCGCTATATAAAAACAGAATTTTTGAAAACAATCCCACGCTACTGTGTGAGGTGATCCTTGGGTCAGAAATGTTTAATACCAGCACACCCCCAACGCGTTATAAGAGCAAATCAAGACCACCTAACACACAAACACCCAACTTTCTGCATTACATTAACACAAATCTGAACCCATGATATACATCACTACTACCAAGCCACCACTGGGATCTTATTCTACAAATAGTATAGTACCAATAATATTAGTGTAGCCTGATGTTTATCTGTGCAGAAATACCGGGTGTAAACAAGATGAATAGACATGCAAAAAAATAAAAGCAGTGCAGCCCTCAAATGTTGCTTTAGAATATTATCGTCGACATTATGAATGAAGCTTTGAGGCTTCAGCCTGTTCGGTACAGCCTGAGCAGCAATGACATTTTAGAGAAAATACACAGAAGTTTAAGTGACTGCCATAAGAAACAAAATGGTGAAATGACTAAGATTTAAAACACGGATAGAAATCAGTGTTTTATCTAAGTTTTACTCCATAATGATTGTTGTTGTTGTTCGGGCCAGACTTCAGGAGCTGATCAAGTTGAGAAACCTGGAGCAGAAACATGAGCCAATGAAGAGTCTGCTGCTGGACATTGACTTCAGGTTGGTTTGTCTCGTTTGTTATCATATTATTTTGTACTGTAATGCTGCTCTGATGTGACGCTATATTTATATGGAGGGATAGAATCCCCATCACTGTATGTGGAGTTTGACCGCAGTATCATGGAGTGCTGATGTGACTGAGCTCCAGGTGATTGGGCCACATCTGGTTCTCCGGTGGTCTCAGGAAGCGCATGGCAGGGTACAGAGGCTCAGTGAACTGGTGATGAGCCCGGTCGAACACCGGCGTCACAGCCGGCGAGAACCTCTGCAGGACAGCCATGGTGTCCGCGTCGTAGAACACCAGCTGGCCCTTATTGTAACTAACCCACACTCCCACCTTTCCCAGCGGCGTCTGCCCGACGCCCTGGCACGCTACGTGCCGGTCGTTGTGCCAAGCAGTCAAATGGCCGTTGCGAAGCTCCACGCACCAGGAGTTCCTGTTACGGCCCAGCTTGGTGCCCTTGTCCCGGCCCTTCCTCTCCAGGCTGCCGTAGGCGGCGCCCACGGCCCAGGCGGAGCAGCAGTGGACGTCCACCTCCCAGTAACGCTGACCGGCTGTGACAGGAGACGAGCCCAGAGCGCAGCACACCTTGTCAAACTGGAGGGGATGCTCTGGAGCTGAGCGGGCAGAGCCGGAGAAGGACATGCCCCGCCCCTCTGAGGTCACCGTGATCTGGCTTTGGCAAGTCTGCCTGTCAATCATCATGGGGGATGAATCTGAAATTATACAGAGAATCCTTAGGTATGTTGATGACATTTGACCTTTGGCCATGCATCAGTGGGACTGTTAACCTGTTCCTGCAGCCAATGTTTCCTAGCAGTATTGGATTTACAAGATTTACTAGCTGACATGGCATTTTTGTAACTTATTGTCGAACCTGACTCAAATGAACCACACTCCTGCTGCCATGAATGAGTTAGCTCGTGGAGAGTTGATGGCCTCAGTACCTAACAGGAGAGCCTTCCTCTGCAGCTGAGCTTTCAGCTGTTTGGAGATGGAGGATAATGTTTTTAGGAGCCTTTCAAATCTCTCTTCATTCAGTCGGATTTCCTTCTCAGAGGCATCTGGCTTCTTAGGACTGCGAGAGAGATCACAGAGATTATAATGGGACAGAGAGGTCTGCAGCAGAGCTGTACAGCACTTTGTCTAATGGTGCAGTGTTTTACCTCAGATTGTCAGACTGACCCTTGAGATGAGACAAAAACAAAATACAGATTAAAACAGCAGGAAAATACTTGAGTGACTATGTTTTTAAACGGTGTCGGTGCACGGACCTTCCTTTTTTCCTCTGCCGCCGGGCCGGTGCTCAGTGCGCTCTGGAGGCTGCCGATGCTCTTGGAGACCTGGTCTTGGTGGTGGTTCCAGTTCTTTAGAACCTGGTCCAGTCTGGTCCTGGTCTGCCTCAGGTCCAGCTCCAGATAGTCCTGGACGGCCTGCTCGTCCTGCTTCAGGACACACCGCATGTTCTCGAAGTCCTCTCGAACCTGCTGCTTCATCACCTCTGTGCTCGTCTTCAGGGAGGAACACAGAGAGCAGGAGGGCCACATGTTGAACACACACCAGATTAATACACGTCATCTATTTATTTACACTCCTCCTTGTTGGTGGTCTGATAACTGTGTATGGTGTCCACTTTAAGTATTGAGAGCCTCTGGTCCGTACTTACAGAGAGATCTGCCTTGCGTTTCTTCAGGGACTGGATGTGAGCCTCAGTCCTGGACCACTCTGCCTGCAGCTCCTCCATCCGTCTGGACAGCTGCTCCTGCAGAGTTACATCAGTGCTGGCATGAGTGTACATTATTTTCAGCTTTAACCTCATGTACAATGTGGACTAGAAACTACACTGTCTCTTGACAAAATTAATTAGTTCTGAAAACAAGGATTTTTAGTTTTATAAATGTCATAAAACGGCGAAAAAGTCACAATTCCCTCAAGCTCATGTTCAAACGTCTTGTTGTCGGAAACCCAAAGATATTCAGTCTACTGTGATGGGAAGCAGGAGACATTTATTAGGGCACCGTTGGAGCGGAGGACCTATTGTTATTCTAATGTTTATTGTTAGGGCCCGAGCACCGACATAGTCGGAGCAGAGGACCTATTGTTATTCAAATACACATAGTACATCGGGTGCATGTTTGGGGGACTTGCCACACTTGAAAACTCACCAAATGTTCCACACTTGTCAGGCCTGGTGAATATAGCATATTTGTGTGTAAAAAAAAAAAAAATGGCTCTCTAGCGCCCCCTAGAAGTTGGACCGGTGACGCCCCTCGGCAAGTATGTCCGATTTACTTGAAATTCAACACGCACATCCAGCTCTCAGACCCCTAAACTCCGCCTACTTAGATTTTGCAGGACAATTGAAGTGTGAGTTTTGAAAGTCGAGTCATAGGATGATCTCCAAAAGAGAAAAATGGCCAGAGAGACCAGAAGCATTAGACTCTGACTGGACAGACTCGTATAAGTGAATTCTTCCCACACTAATTTCTCTTTTTAGAAGATGAGAAAAATATAATATTGTAGCTTTTTCAATTCAACCTCAGTGTGTGCGTGTGCGTGCATCCGCACCCACCCACCCACCTGAGAGGGCTGTCCAGCACTGGCTATCTTCCTCTGTAGTTTTGGAGAACGGGGGAAAGGCTGAACGGTGTCAGTGTTGGAGTCCAGTGGGGTGAAGCTCAGTCTGTCCTGCAGTACACTGTGGCTGCCTGCATAGGGCGGAGCGAGACCACTGTGTGCTGACTGACCATTACCAACAGATGAAGCCTCTTGTTCTGCCATTTCTGTGAACAAAACAACAAACTCATATTAAATCTCTACCAGCAGATTTTCCCCGTTTGCACTCTCCAAAGCATTTCCTGTTTATGTGCTTTAGCTGTGTTTTCAGAGTAAACCAGTTCTTCAAGTTTTTGAGTCCATGCCAAGCTTTCTTCCATAACCTTGTTTAGGATATGATCTATTTATCTCTGCAGATTAACCAAAATAAAACCAAAGAAACACAAAGTCACAACTCACAACTTCCTGTATGTTGAGCATTCAATTTTGTCATATTATGCATATACAGCTGCAAAATACCATGTTTGTTACAGTCGACAGTTCTCTGGTTACTGGGAACTTTTAGACCTCTGCATGCTGTAACAGCAATATATTCATGATGAATATTCAGAAAGAGTCCCATTGTATTATTTTAGCATGACTAAATGTGTTAGTGTTTCTTACCTGCGGTGTCTGCGCTGCGTCTCCACTGTGTGTTTCTGTAAAGACTGTGCAGAGGGTGTGTTCTGTGTTACAAGCTTCAGCCTGCAGTCACCTCTCTGTTACCTGGATACACACTTCAGGATCCACTGTGTTTGCCAACTTTGTGTGCACGTACAGCAGATAAGTTCCAACATGCTCTGTTTTTTTTCAGCCTCCTGTTACAAAGGAAACAGAACTCATGTGAAAGTTGTCTGAATGTTGAAAGTTCAATGCTGAATAACGCATCATATGATTTTTTTTCATAATGTTCCAGATACACTCAGTTCTACAGCCAGGATGAATTCTGTCACTACAACATGTTCAACCATCACTTCTTTGATGGAGAGGTAAGAGTTAAACTCCTGTGTTTCATATGTTTGCCTTCCAGTTCAGTGTGATACAGCCTCTTGTCTTGCCAGGCCTCCGGTGCAGTGCTGCAGGCCTTCCTCACTGAGTGTGACGGCCAGAAGGTGGTGATGGTGGCCGACCCTCCGTTCGGTGGCCTGGTGAAGCCTCTGGCCAGCAGCTTCTCTCTGATCTCACACACATGGAGGAAGCTGCAGAGTTCTGGTGAGTGTCATGGTAAAGTGTCTTTTTTTCTCCATATATTTCTCAATGACTGTTCAGCTCCATGGTATATTTAGCACTGATCCTTGTGGCTCCACTAGAGGACATTCTTTTTGCAGTAAGGCAGCTTAAAACGGTGAAACATAGACATTGAAGTGTGAATACTATATACCAAATACATCAGCTGAAAAGCATAGAAACACTTTTTTGGGTCACTTATATTTAAAGCAGAGTCCACTTCTTTCTGGCCAGCAGATGACAGTAGAACAAGCTGTAAACCCAGAATTGACACATCATCATTGTATAAAGATGATATTGCAATAATTAGTTTGCAAACAGTTGGTTATTTATACATTCTAGCAGAAGGGAACAACCCTTAGCATTCGTTTGGAGTCGTGCCAAAATTCACTCTCCTTTTAGCTCTGGTTTGGTCTCCACCAACTCCTGAGACAGTTATCTGACTCTTTAGCTACTAAAAGCTCCACAATGTTCACTAGCTAGTCTCTAACTCTGTGTGTGCTGTTTCAGGCTGAGCAGGTAGAGGACAGTGTGTTTATCACTGAACCAACAGTAAACCAAAACAATGAGCTGGAAGAGGCTAAAAAGCTCTGTAGAGACGAGGAAAACTGCCGAGTCGGTTGATAATCCTCTGGGTTCGTCACATTACACATAGTTATTTAATCCACTGTCCATAACAATTTAAATTCACGCTGCTTTGACCTCTCGTAACAACTAATGACAATCAAATATTTGAATGATTCTGCTACTTATTGTCTGTTTTAAATTAATGCTAGCATGCAGTGTTTGAAGCTAACCTCCAGGTGTTTTTGTGTGCAGACTGCAGTAACACTGACATTCCCATGATGTGGATCTTCCCATATTTCTTTGAGCCTCGCATCCTGGAGTGTCTCCCCTCATTCACCATGCTGGACTACCAGGTAGAGTGCCAGTGCATCACTTGTATTGATTGATTGATACAGACATACTTGGCTTTGGAGCTTTACTATCAGGAAACATGCACTACAATACCTGTGAGGGACATTTTTTCATTCAAGAATACCTGATGCACAAACTCACTATCAACGTGTCCGGGGGGACATGCACCCTGATAACTGAACTCCAAATCTGTGTTGAAATCATGAGGAAAGCTAATGACGTTAGCTGTTAGCAGCCAGTCTTCAGGAGCTAACAGCTAATGTTAACAGGTGTTACATTATAAGGTCAAGTTCTACTTAGATTAAAAAAAAAAAGAGTATTAGATGAAGGTAAATTATAAAATGATCATGATGTGTTCAAATGTCATCAATATGAACTTGAATATATCCAGATGTTTTCACAGCCACATGAAGTAGATATTAGAGAGGGAATTATGACTTGTTTAACTTCCTAAAACTAGCTTGAAGCGTATATTTAGTTTTTTACCCTGGCTCTATTTGGGTATAAAACCCGAGTATTTCCCTAGAATTGGTATCGACTATGACATTTCTGGCATTGTGCCATCCCGACTGTCAAGTTCAAGATGGCCAGACTTCTTCCAGGGCACAACTGGTGATTATCATTCATCAGTCAAACCCAAGAAGAAGCCCGTCATGCTATCAGGTTCACTGTTGATACAGCAGGAGAGCCTTGTGTTTCACTGTGTCACCGTGGCAGTGATGAACCTAATGAGAAACGTCTGTGGAAAAACATGCAATTTCCTTTCTTGATAAATTCATATTGACTTGGCGACCTTTTGTATAATGCAGTGAGATTTTGGGCGATTATGAAATGGAATAGTGTAGTGGATTGTCTCAGTGATCCTCAATCAATATTTAACTATCCTCTTTAGAGGGATCTCCTTTTTAATTGATAGGTAGAAATGTTATTAGACTGTAAAGTAACTATGCTTCTTTTTACGGGACACAATAGTTCCTTGTGGACTATAAACGATTAGTCAGTATTTGGTTTGTTTCCAGGTGGACTATGACAACCATCCTCTGTACAAACACGGGAAGACGGGCAGGAAGCAGTCTCCTGTCAGACTCTTCACTAACATTTCACCCAGAGACGTTGTCCTGCCCAAAGACGAGGGCTACAGGTATCAACACACTGATAATCTCCCGTAATTCAGTATAGATGAACATGTTGGACGATTAATGACGGTACATTTCAGTACAGAAGGTAAAGGTTGGTTTGAGGTAACATAGAAACGGTGTCATCAGAGAGCACTGTCTAGAATGTCTCACTATGTTCATACCTGGCTCTATAATTCCTGAGTTTAACAGATCCGTATTATACATTGTTGGTAGTGGTGGGCAACGATTAAAATATTTAATCGCATGGATTTTTTGCGATTAATCGCATTGTTATGGCAAAGTTCAATAATGAATTCAAAAGTAGTGTATTGCGCACTTTTATTTTGAAAGTACTGCTATATGAACAAAAGGTCAATAACATTTGGTTCACGAGATGCAGGTAGCATGTTTTATACTTAATGTGAATATAATTCATACTTTGTTGGCATCTTATTCTGAAAACCGGATGTTCGTCTGAAGAAACCGGATGTTGTCTCACGTTAATCTTTCCGCTAACTTTCAAAGTCCTTCGCTCGCTCCTGATCTGTGCCGTTTAAATGCGTTTACCGTGAATGTCAGCATATACAGTTGTGTGAAAAAGTGTTTGCCCCCTTCCTGATTTCTTATTTTTTTGCATGTTTGTCACACTTAAATGTTTCAGATCATCAAACAAATTTAAATATTAGACAAAGATAATACAAGTAAACACAAAATGCAGTTTTTAAATGAAGGTTTTTATTATTAAGGGGGAAAAAAATCCAAACCCACATGGCCCTGTGTGAAAAAGTGATTGCCCCCTAAACCTAATAACTGGTTGGGCCACCCTTAGCAGCAACAACTGCAATCAAGCGTTTGCGATAACTGGCAATGAGTCTTTTACAGCGCTGTAGAGGAATTTTGGCCCACTCATCTTTGCAGAATTGTTGTAATTCAGCCACATTGGAGGGTTTTCGAGCATGAACCGCCTTTTTAAGGTCATGCCACAGCATCTCAATCGGATTCAGGTCGGGACTTTGACTAGACCACTCCAAAGTCTTCATTTTGTTTTTCTTAAGCCATTCAGAGGTGGACTTGCTGGTGTGTTTTGGATCATTGTCCTGCTGCAGAACCCAAGTGTGCTTCAGCTTGAGGTCACAAACAGATGGCCGGACATTCTCCTCCAGGATTTTTTGGTAGACAGCAGAATTCATGGTTCCATTTACCACAGCAAGTCTTCCAGGTCCTGAAGCAGCAAAACAGCCCCAGACCATCACACTACCACCACCATATTTTACTGTTGGTATGATGTTCCTTTTCTGAAATGCTGTGTTACTTTTACGCCAGATGTAATGGGACATACACCTTCTAAAAAGTTCAGCTTTTGTCTCGTCAGTCCACAGAGTATTTTCCCAAAAGTCTTGGGGATCATCAATATGTTTTCTGGCAAAACTGAGACGAGCCGTTATGTTTTTGCTCAGCAGTGGTTTTCGTCTTGGAACTCTGCCATGCAGGCCATTTTTGCCCAGTCTCTTTCTTATGGTGGAGTCATGAACACTGACCTTAATTGAGGCAAGTGAGGCCTGCAGTTCTTTGGATGTTGTTCTGGGGTCTTTTGTGACCTCTTGGATGAGTCGTCGCTGCGCTCTTGGGGTAATTTTGGTCGGCCGGCCACTCCTGGGAAGGTTCACCACTGTTCCATGTTTTCGCCATTTGTGGATAATGGCTCTCACTGTGGTTCGCTGGAGTCCCAAAGCTTTAGAAATGGCTTTGTAACCTTTTCCAGACTGATAGATCTCAATTACTTTGATAAACCACAGTTAATTTATGTTTTAACAGGGGGGGGGCAATCACTTTTTCACACAGGGCCATGTAGGTTTGCATTTTTTTCCCCCTTAATAATAAAAACCTTCATATAAAAACTGCATTTTGTGTTTACTTGTGTTATCTTTGTCTAATATTTAAATTTGTTTGATGATCTGAAACATTTAAGTGTGACAAACATGCAAAGAAATCAGGAAGGGGGCAAACACTTTTTCACACAACTGTAGGTGCACTAACATGTAAGTCTGCTGAGTTGACCACGGAGATCTGAGTGTCTGCTGACTTTACCGCAGCGATGTCCAGTAGTCTCCAGGGAAAGCAACAGCTGGTGCAGCTTCTCTCTTTATTTCTGCCCCCCCCCCCCCCCCCCCCCTCGACCAGAAGCGGAAGTCACCTTTTCTCTACGGCAACCCTGAAGGGACATATCATCTCCAATACAAAACATGATAAACATGAGACAGTCTGTTACAATAATAATAAATTAAAAATACTTACCTGTTTATTTTTCCCATCTCAAAAGGCTCAAGGACACACGAAATTAATGCGTTAACTTGCCCAGCACTAATTGTTGAAGTAGAAGTTCAAGTAGAACTGTTAGTTGCAACCACAGATTTTCTGTGGTTGCATGAATCCACTTTTACAAGCATATCCTTTATCCTTCTAATATTAAAATGTTGTGGAACTATTTGACCCTGAGTACCATTGGACATTTTTCAAGAC